TTTTTTTTTTTTTTAATTCATCAGGTTTAAACTTTGTAATTTGTTATTGAAATATCAGTTCTGAAGAGAATGGATACAGGAGTTTGGACATCCACTCAAAATTCCTTAGGCTCCTTAGCACTTGATTTCAAAACTCTTTATTTCTTCACTGATGATGTGATTCCTTCCTGACAATCAGAAAGAAGTAGTTGTATTGATATATAAGCAAAAAAACCTRTTTCCTTATCTTTTTGACAGCTTTCCTTTTCAGCTTTATAGTTAGTTCTGTAATAGTTGCTGCARCTTCTATAGATTTTTACCTTTCTTCTGATCTAATTGCTTTCAGTACTCTTCCTGCAAAATATTTGGAGAAGATCGCTGACCAGATGCGCACTAACAACATTAATGCCCTTATGGTTATTGGTGGATTTGAGGTACATTGAAATATCTGCTTATGTCTAAGTAGAATAGATTTCCTAACAAAAGGAAGACTTCTTTCCTCCAAACTTCATGTGAGGTGCTTGGTTATTACTGTATTTGATGCTAATAGCATCAGTATGCTGCAACAGTATTAATAGCTTTTAGGATCAGAAGTTTTGTCAGTCCCCCATTTATATGGAAAGCTGACATTTAAGATGATCACTAGTAACAGCAAAAGGGATGTGTGTTAAGCGGATAAATGAAGTGAGATTTTGTTTAAAAAAGAAGAAAGGTCTTTAAAGCTGTCTTAAGCACAAACTCCGAATACTGTATAAATGCTTAGAACATTCTTCTAGACATGCTTAAGCTTTAGTAATACACCGTCCCTTATTTATGCCACTTGTCATATATAGTATTTGAGAATCCAGATAATCTAGAAATGTATTTTCATTTTTACCAGCAATATTTATTTATGAAATCTTAATTCAGGAAATTATTTGGACAGTTCTTCCCCAGAGAAGAACATACTTAAGTACTTCTTGACAATGTGTGTATCATGCTTCCCTCATCCTTTCCCCTACTTCTCCTCCCATTTTGTTAGGCATGGCCCTAATTCAGTAGTATTAAGATTTTAAAAGGAATGAATCAGTACCTGAACATAGACGAGCTAGTTTACAATATAATTTTGTCCAATACAGAACACTTGGTTATTTCTAAATTATGTATTCCCTTGCAAATGACTTCTATTTATTTATTTAAGATATATCTGTTTTTAATGCTGTCTCTTTTTTGTGTGTTAGATTTTAGTGGTTCCTTAATGCTTTGACTTACTGAAGTGTGCTGTGGTAGAAATGGCTCCCCATGTGGCCCTTCCCGTTTTATCATTCCAACCTTGTCCTTATTTCATTCGTCCTAATTTTTCACCCAATGCCCGTGCCCAACAGGCATACCTTGGACTTTTGGAATTGTCAGCGGCCCGAGAGAAATATGACGAATTCTGTGTCCCAATGGTTATGGTTCCTGCAACTGTTTCCAACAATGTACCGGGTTCAGATTTCAGCATTGGTGCAGATACTGCTCTGAACACTATAACTGATGTAAGTCTATTCTGGTGTGTGCACTTATTGACAAAGCATTTCTTGTTACAACTAAATAAATTGGCTAGAATTGGATATTTTTATAGACCAGAACTTTGGAAATATAATCTGGAAAATAATGCAGTCACTTGATGCAGGTGCCTTTATGATACCCCTTAGAAAGAGAAGTCTTATAGACTCAACTGCTTATGTAAGGTTTATTATGAATTCACAATTCATTGTTTTTATTCTTTAGTACTTCTGGATTTCTTAACTACTGATTGGATGACATGTTTACTATGTTTTGAGGATAGCAGGCTAAACTTATGACCTGATAATTTGATGCCCTACAGGAAAAAAAATACTCTATGGTATTAAGTACTAGTACTAACAAAGACTAAGTTAGCATTCSTCTTTTCAGGAAAAGATTATTTGTGTATCAATTTCTCTAATAGTAGGAAGCAGCTGTGCTCTGCTAATAATACAAATAGGTTTAGCAAAATACTGAGACGTATTAGAAGTATTGATATAAATTTTACTGAATATGAAATGTCTGGAAGCATAATGTAAATTAAAAACAGATCAATTCTAATATCAGTTGGCAAGAATCAACATTGACAACTACCATGCAAAATGAAAGTTGATTTTTTTTTCTTAATATGCACATTTACAATTATCTGAATTGCTTCAGAAAAGAAGCGATTGATTATACCTCTGCAAAGAGAAACAATTTTATTTCCTTGGAAATTCATAAAAAAACTTGACTAAATTCTGTCCATGATATAACCAGAGCAGTGTAATATTAAAAGGAAAAGTTTTAAAGAACATTATACATTTTATATATTTTAAAGAACATTATACATCTGTTGACAAAAAAAAAAAATAGTGAAGATATATTTCTGGAATATAATAAAGCATTTTGCTAACAAATAAGTCTAACAAAGCATTTTTCTTGGAAATGTAATTTTAATTTTTAATTATGAAGTAATACTACACTTCTATAGCATGCTTACTGAATTACTATGTTCGAAGACTTCTGTTACCAGTCATACTGGAGCCAGATTTTTTTCTTCTTCTTCTGGGCCATACATATTGACCTGCATTCTAAGAAAAATGAAAAACAAGTGTGATTCTCATGCAGAGAGAGAAGAGAATTTCACAGTGCTTTTTGCTCTTGAAGATTAAACATCGGTTCTTATCTTTCCTCAAATCCTATCAGCTTCAAGGGCACGACCATTTTTGCACCTGTTGCTTTCATTTTCCTTGCTGACACAAAAATATTTATCCTTAGTATAATAAACCTTGAGTTATGACATTCCCATTTCCCTCACACCGTTACAGAAGACRGTAAAGCTAACTTAAATTTCTCTTGAAGGTACTCTTTATGCACACTTTTAAATAAGAAAAACAGACCTTGTTCCCAGTTCTGGTAAATAAAAATATCTCTCCAAAATGTTTGATCACAAATTAAGGTGAGTAAAGAAAATGATTGTGCATAACACCTGCTTTTCTTCTCTTTTACATAAGCTTTGTGTGTTTATCTAACTGGCTTCTTTTTATAGTGGCTTCTTTTTATAGGCTATTTCATGTAGAACAAAAATAGTGTTTTTTTCCTTTTTTTTTTCCAGTTGTGTTTTGTTTTATACTTATGTTTCTAGATACTCTCTGCTTTCATTAGATAGCAAGTTGTCAGTATCTCCTTGCTTTTAATATAACAATTGAACAGTTTTCCTTCTAGTAGATTTTACTAATAAAAACATTTGTACTGTTCTTGCATTTTATTTTATCCAGATTTTTCTCTGAAATAAATATGAACTGTAATACTTTTACAAGATTTAGATTCAAACCAATGGAAGATTAAGACTTTTTTGGAGCTTGAGCATCAGGCATGGCAAGATTTTTCTTGTTGTTGTGAAAATATTTGTGTGTAATCTCCCCTTTGGTTCTGTGAGCGTGCTCCACTCAAACCAATGATGAAAAACGGATCCTTTCTTCTATATTCAGATCAGGCAATAGTGATCCTACCCTTTATTAGGTGTGATAGCCTCAGTAAAAGTTATATAATTGACTGTGGTAAACAGAAATAGCAAATGGATATAAATGTCCATTGTTAGAAATTTTTGTTCCTATTGCTAACACTRGGTGAATAAACTTGCAATAGTTTTCAGTACTGTCAGATTATCTCTCTTAAAAGCACCAAAATATTATCACAGTTTTGCTGTGCTTCTGTTCTTCTGTGTCCATGTTCTTGCCAACTTTCAGTAAGGTAAGTACATTTTTTCCTGCTGGGCAATGAGGTCTGTTTAGAGTTCGGCATTACTAGACACTTTGCAGTGTTAGGCTGTTTACAGCCTGTCCAAGCATGTAAATGGTACCTTGAGGCTAAGTCATATTTGCAAATACAATATGTTACAATGCTCCATTTAGAGAGATATACTTCTTAATGTTTGGCAGTAATTGTTTCTTACGGTGCAGAATCAGGGAAGATAAATGAAATTATGTGTAGCTAGATAAAAWCTGTAAATACAATATGTAGATATGATATGTAAGTAGATCTGTAAATAGGTAATACATTCTGAATTATAAATCAGGTGAGAACACGCTTTAGCCTGATCACAGAATATGGGTAATACCTTTATTAATGACTGAATGTAGATTTAGAGACTGATTTGAAATTCTCCATTATTCCACATATATTTTAAAATACAGGTTTGAAATAAGTCAGTGTAGAATTTGATTTGTCTTTTGAATAGTGGCYTAAATTTACATTATGCTGTTTTTTCAATTCAGCTTTCAGAATGTCAGTGCAAACACTTGTCAGTAAAAATGCATAATAAGAAATACATGGGAAATCAGCATTATAAATGGATATAGTTGGGAGTTTTATGTCTAGATTGACATAATGGATTATTCAGAGGTGCAGAACAAGAACATGAAGACTTCTGTGGGGGGAAAAAAGCATCAATAAAATTAATATAGCAAAAAATGTGAATATTCTCAACTTCATGTTGMTAATGTAGTGAAATGTAGAGCAGTATTATTTCAGCTTGATCTATAGAATGTGACATGAGAGATGTTTTCTTGYATAACCATGAAAGCTAGATATTCTTCGTAAATGCCTGCTGGCTTTATTTAATGCACACCTTAATCAGAAGGAGGTTTAGCAATAAATATTGCACTGGTGAGACTAAAAACCAAAAAGAAACCTACTCAAGTAATTGAGTAAAGTGTATGTGTGTATATGTAGTAAAAAAAAAAAAAAAAAAAAAAAAAAGGTTTTCAGCTAAACAACATGGTAAGATGAAAATGTAATTGGAAAATAAAACATACTGATGATCTAGAAGATGCTGACAGAAGAATAAACCAAAAGGAGGTATGAAAGAATATGGATTTCATTTAGGAGATGAAGAAGCAAAAGGGGCACTAGAAAACACATCAACTGGAGATGGAGGAATGTGTGTATGTGAGGAGAACTGAAGAAAAGAAGAAGCTAGAAAYACCTACCTTTGACAGTCTGCCTCTTGGCTTCCTCAGAGGGAAGGGTGCAGGGCTGATCAACTGGTTTGACAACTAAAGAGGCAGAAAGCCCCAAGAAGACCCTTTCTCACTGAGGAGCGAAGGGAGCTGTGGTTGGGCTGCCCTAATGCAGTCCAAAGGCAGTTTTCTTGGAAGTTACCATGCTCCTGTACCCTTGCAGTGCTGGTACTAGCAGACATGACTRCACACTAATGTAGATTGGTATTCTGAACTGGTTCATAATTAATCCACATAAACTAACCGACCAGTTAAACTTTCATCCGTTTCAGTTTTCGTAACACTTAGCTCTGGGGCTATCAGTTAATCTATCCCATTCAATGGCAGTTTGCACTTGGATCAACATCAAGTTAGCAACATGGTCAGTGCTTGACTGAAGGGCTTTTGTGGTACCTTTTGGTTATACCAGTATCTTTATTACTAAAAATAAAAGATTGTGAAAAGATTAATCCATGTTATCATGAAGAGATACTGGAACACATTAACATGAATGCATCTTTCAGGAAAACTATGATTTAAAACTATTTAGAGCCATAGATAAATTCCTTGTCCTTTGTAATTGTTAAATCTACCCTTCATTGAAAGTGTTTTCCTATTTTGCTGCAGTGATGTGAAGATATTGCATATAATCTAATGCTTATGCTGGGTGAAGGTGTAATCTTCGGATATGTTGCTAAAATCACTTGCATCAAATGAAGTGRTGATATTTAATGCAAGGAAAACATATCCTACACTGCAAACTAACTGATTGGGTTGGTTATTGCTCTTAATCTCCCTTCAACTCTATTTCACTAAGACCTCAGTATAAAACTTTCCAGAGGAACTCATCRGTGTTTTCCACATCTCCAGGAGATCTTGCAGTTTTACCAAACCATGATGACTCAATAGCCATTTTTATTCTTTAATATTAAAATTTTGAATCAGCCTGAATGAACTTGGTTGGACTAGGTAATTGCTGCTTCTCAGTGAAGCTTTTTTGGATAAATGGAGAGAAAAAAAAAAAAAAAACAAAAAAACCCACTTCTCCTGGCTCCTCTGCTTCTCAAAGCTACAGGTCTGTCAGCAGCCTTCTAGACCATGTGTTTCAGACTTGAAATTGGAAATTCACCCTAGCATTTAGTATTTATTTGAAAATTTCACTCTCAGGATGCCTAGTAATAGACTTCCAAACTCTGGAAATCAATTTGGTCACTTATCGCACTATGACCTGTTTTCCCCCTGCATGGGATGTGCTTTTTCTAGAAAGAAAACATAACAGAACTCAGGGTGAATCTTTCCTCTCCCTATTGCTTATAGATATTTGTGTGAGGAGATAGTCATTTGATCTGCAGTAATTTGCTTTAATAAACTGTTCTGAGAAATTGAGAAGGCTGAACTTCTGTGAATATCAGTCTTTTCTAGAATTGACCAAGGATTGATCAAAACAAGAATATACTCCACAAAATGCCTTATTACAGAGAGTCGTTACATATATGGCAATTTTTCAA